TAATCTATTTTTCAGTTACCAAGTCTTGCCTCGATTCAATTGGCCGAGTGAGTTCGTGTCTGTTTTTTGTGAAAGAATCCTAAAATTAAATTTTACTTTGTTCGTATTGTTTCTTCTAAATGGAATTGTGCTTCAATCTTGAGTTTCTTATGTCATTGGATTTTCTAATGGAGATGAATGGTGATTGAGAATTAAACAATAAGAAAAAGGAGAGAAAAGGAGAACCAAATTAAAATAATACAGACATGAAGTTAGGCTGGAATAATTTGGCATTAATCTGTATGCAAATTCTTTTGTTTATAGTTTGGGACCAACCTAGGGTAAAACTAATCAGGTGCTTTGGCAGAAAAGTTGTTTATGGTGTTTGATTTAGAGATTAAATTTTAGTGACCTTTAATAGAAAAATGCATTTTACTCGGTATTTGCAGGTGCAATTTTGGAGGTGGTATTGTTAGAAGTGCCTGCCACATCGTTCCTCTCTTCATTTATAAATTCAGCCATCAGGTGCAATAGGTAATGACATGTTGTTTCTTCCTTCTAATTTTCTTTCTCACTAGCTGATTTTAGTAATTGATTTCTTGCTTCCTTTGCTTTCTTACTGGCTTCAGGTGTAATTGAAGCCTCTTAGCATCTATTTATGATCTTAAGACTAAACCTTGATTTTTGGTATTGAATTTCCTTTTGTCTTTCCTTACTGGATACCATGCTTTGTTTTATCTTTTGTATCTTATAGTTTACCAAATATGGTGTGCCCTGTGATCTCTAGAGTTTCGACCTTTGTATCTCTTAATCATTTTTTTTTTTCATTTCATTTCGAATAATTGATGAAAATTATTATGTATTGAAATAAAACCATTACATTAAAATCAAAGACTCATCCATGATTGTGGCCAGCAGGGTTGCCCGCAGTAATAAAATCTACGCTTTGCGTTTTATTGCTTCAAAATGAAACAAGTTTTACCTCCCATATTTCTAACCTTGCACTCTTAATGGCTATTTAAACTTATCTATGTTTATCTATTGGAGTTAGCCCAAGAAAAATGCATTGCTAAATTTAATTATCCATTTTCCTCTAAGGTTAGATAAATACAGACCCATAGTAGGGGTATAGTGATGGTGACACATTCTTTCGACATACTTCGACAAGGCATCCCATTTTGTCCCATAAATATTTCCACCTAGCCTGGAATATATCTCAATGAAGGCTTTCTTGGAAAGAATAATTTAGTAATGTTCTTCGTTCTTATGATTCAATTTTGTTTTCCCTCCATGATGTAGATCATGATCTTAAATTTGATGCTATACATTTGACAATTTTCTCCAATAAATGTGAAGAACTGTGAACTCTAAGCCTAAACTGCAGAATGTTTCAACACTCTAAAATTGTTTTATTGGATTATTTAGTTTTTTGAAGTTTTTTTAGAACTCAAACACATATAAACATGTTAGTTATACCTAAAACATCCTGCTTAATTAAATCACCAATAAGGATCACTTGTTTTAACTAATGGAGCAAGCTATTTATATGTGAAAAAAGAAAAAAAAAAGACCTATTAATTGACAAAATAATTAAAAAATGAAAAAGTGTTATACAGTCTAAATTGTACCAAACTACACAATACTAACCATTAAATTGGGGTTGGGCTCCCTGATATTGGGGCCCCTTCCCCCATCCAATGATCTCTATGTTATAGTCCAATATAGTCCAAATTGTAAAACAAGTTTCCTTGAAAAAATGCTACCATTCCATTAGTAAAATAAATATATAGCTGGGCTGCTTTAGAAGTCCTGTTTAGCCCAATTCATCCCAACATAAGATCCACCACAGAAAATGAGGAGCAAATTAAAGGGTTTGAAGCTCCTATCCTATGTCAATCCATGTATTTAATTATGTCCTCATTTGGTCCATTTGCTTCAAAAATCAGTTGCTCTGCTCGCACTTGTTGTCCCTTCATCCATCCTACTCACATGTCTACTTACGACTTGAATTTAAAATTTCTTGTTTCATTTGGAGGACAGTTTACTGTTAGATTAAATGCTTATGTGGTTGATACATCTACTTATGTTAGTCTTTAAGATTCAATGCTGTTTGAGTATTGGGTCTTTATTAACTTATTTGATAGGCAAAGTACTATTTTTGGTCTAGAGGAAGTATTATTTTTGGTTTCTAAAGCAAAATATAGTGTATTTAATTACATGAATCTACACCATGTTTTATTTTTGTTTATTATTAATTTTTTTGGAGGTTATTGTAAGCTAAATAAGCTAATTAGATGAGTTGTTTTCACCCTTGAAAAATTCTTTCCTTATCTTGCTTGGTATGAGTCTAAGATAAGCTTGATGAAGAGCTTGACGATGGGAGTATCTCTTCATGGTATATATAATATTTCCATTAGTTTTGGAATACATATGGTATAGACAAATGGTTGTAAATCTTGAATGGACCTAGAACCAACCATGCTTAAGGCAAAGTGGTGTACTAAACACCTGTACTGTAGACTTTAATGCTATTTTTCTTCACATAAAAAGGTAAAAAACCATTTTATTTTTAATCTCATCTAAATTTTAAAATATTTTTACTAGTGTTTGATTATGATGAGCTGATGAAGGGATGGCATTCTTTTAGTACCTAATTATTTTATTAGGCTATTTTGCATTATGATTTGTAGTTATTGCCTGGATTTGAATCTTGATTTTGACCTCAAAACTAAGCGATAGATATTTGCTTTCCATATTTTTCTTACTTTGTGTTTTGTGCCTGAAACTTTAAAAGTTTTCTGTGCTGATAAGGATTATTCTTAAACTTTACTTTTTTTTTTTAATCAGGCATATCCGACACTAGAAGCATGTTGCCAAGAAGAAAATGAATACAAAACTGTGCTTGCTTAGGTAAGCCAACTTATATAAGGGAGTAACATTTCTCAGTTCAGTAATTTGACAGTTTGTCATGTGGTTGTATCAACTTGTTTAAGAGGCTATTTTTCACTTGGTGATTTGCATTTGATATTCGCTATCTTCGGGGAAGTAAGTTTGCTTGATTTTACTATTCCCACTTCTGTGTTTGCAATTTTTCAGATAAGTATCTAAAAGGAGAATTAATATAATGAGGTTAAATTTTATTTTCTGCTTTGATGGCTTGATATTAAGTTGGTAAGAAATTTGAGGATGCTGGAATCTTTTGGGGATAGACACATACAAAAATGATTCACACAATTATATCTAGAATCAGTCTTATCTAACGGTAAAAATGATTTCATTTAGTTGTGGTGTGAATTGATATGCATTAATTAAATTGTTTGATAATGCTTTTATTGTGAAATAATATTGTGCATGCATAATCTCTATACATGAATGTAATGTCACTCCTCCCTTATAATTCATTTGTTTTGGTATGAGATCACAAAGTGTAGGTAAAATTTTCAACTGAGGGCTTAAAGAAGAAAATGACATTGGGGAACTGCAACTAAGGCTTAGTTTGAGAGTGTTAGCTTGTAACTGCAGCTGTTGGTTTTTTTATCTTTTAACATCCTAAAAATATATAAAATATATTTAATATTTATTTTGATTAATATTTTATATATTTTTAGAATATTAAAAAGGCATAAAAACCAAAAGTTAAAGCATCAAGAAGTGTTGTCCAATGAAACAAAAGAGTTAAAATACTCTTGATATTTCTTTCTAGATTCATTCTTCTTTTTAGTTGTAGTCTCTGATCTGTATATAGTTTGACTTGATATTTTTATATAGCAAGGAGTTAAAATACTCCTGAAATTTCTTTTTAGTTGTAGTCCCTGGTCATTATATAATTTAGCTTGATATTTTTATATAGCAAGAGACTGATAATTGAAAAGGCATTAGATCAAATTACATCCAAAATTTAAACGGGAAAGGAGTGTGCTCTATGTCCGGCTGTTCTCCTTTGTTGTCCAAAAGTTAGACTGATATTTTCTTTGTTCTCTTTTCCTCTTCTAAGAAACAGTCATTTCATTTTGAGTTTCATGTATTTCTTTCAGATTTTAGCTTGCACTTTTAATGTGTAGTCTAAATTGAAATGCACTTTTATGTTTCATTTTTATGGTTTCTATTCCCTTTTGGTTTCTCTGTTCTTCAATCTTTTCCGCAACTATGCATCCTTTTGCCTATATATTTCTTCTCCCTTTCCTTTTTCTCTTCTATTGTTTAAATTCTAAACTCAAATCTATTGATCCCTCATGTACTACTGTTCTCTTTGATAGATTTTCAGTAGTAAAGTAATGCCTGATCAAAGGAGTATGCAAATAATAATAGTTAAAGGTTGTGCTTGAGCAAACTTATTTGCATTGCCCTTTTCATTTTAAGTTTTATTATTTATTTTATCTCCCTTTGTGCTTTATATATTTGTTTAATTAGTTGTAAGTCCTTGATCTATAAAATCAAGCATTTTTACCTTATGTATATTTTTTTGAACAGCAAAGAAAATATGTTTATCAATGAAAGTACAAGGAGTATTCATGTCCATTTGCATCTAACCACCATTACATGCCTTAATGACCTTTTTGGTCATAAATAAAATTTTAGTTTAGTTGAAGAAGGCAAATGGGGATGCACCAGGTCCATTTTTCCTGGACCCTTTAGGGTTCATTGTTACAGCACCGAATGCAAATCTCCAATGTGGATTCATTAAAAAATGGTGTGGGTCACTATATGCAAATGCACATCTCCAATACCCGAAGTGGCTCAATCTATCGTTTATCTCATCTTATGTAGCCTATTATTGCATATATAGAAAAAAAAATGTAAATCTCCAAGGGATCTATCACTATAGAAAAATGAAAACCCTATGAGGCAGCAAAATCAGTTCGTGTGTGTGAAAGCTGAAATTTATGTTTAAAATTATAGTTTGCTTTGTGTGTAGAAGAAAAGAACATAGCAAACCTATCAAAATGAGCAAATCATATTCTAATTAAAAAGGAAGTACAGCAGAACGATGTATAGATAATCAGCAAGCAACATTTTGTTTTCTGAATGGAGGATATTCATTCTCTTTAAAATACCATAAACAACAAACTGTTTAGTTTTGCGTTCCAAGCAATGTGGCAACATTTGCTAAGTTCATATCCAACTTATAAATGCACCATTCAGATCAAATAAGGAATTAAGAAAGCAACCTCTCAATATACATAGTTACATACAAGAAATGTACCTCAAGAGCCACGTGCTTCTCCTCTTCTTGCACCGCAGCACAACTTGTCGCCCGAGTTGTTGCTGCTGCTGCGATGCCTAGGTGCAGCGTTGGTGCTTGTGCGGCCAGCCCGCGCAGAGCCTGCCGCTGGCCCCCATGCCACCACCCAGCAGAGCAGCAGCACAGCACGCTTCTTCCCTCCGCGCCCCACCCCCCCTTCCCCCCATACAAGCATATATAAGATAGCCACATTTGTTGTCTTGAAGGATATAAGTTCTCTCTTTAATACAATAAAACAACAAATGAATTTAAGCGTTTGCATGAATTTAATTATTGAGAATACAAGTAGCGAATGAGTTCGGGAAATAGAAAAAGATCTCTCTCTTTTTTCTTTCTTTTTTTTAAGAAAAAAGGGATTAGTTTTAGTGAGGTAACATTCTGGGCATCAAGCAATGTGATAACTTTGCAAATTCACATCCAACGTATGGGTACATCATTCAAACCTGCAAGGAACAAAGAAAGCAGCCTCAATATAGCTCCATGCATAATGTTTACAAGAGAAATATCTTTATCAAGCAGGTGTAGAGATGATGGACCAACTCACTATTAAACTTCACTTGGAAAGGACATGAGCCGCAATTTATCTTATCTCAATTTTCAGGATCACTTCCACTCTGCAGACACAACAACAACACAATAATGAAGGTGAAAGGAAAAATTGGAACAAAAATTTTCCTTTACAATATCATGATCAATTAAGTGTTTGACATATACATATGTTTCTAGTTTTTCCCTTTATTTTAAAGAATTTAAAACAAGAGAACCTTAGGAGATCTTTTGAATTGATGCATATATACCTTTTGCATGAACTGTAGTTGTATGGTCGAGTTTAGGTTGCCATCCCAAAGCGCTTCATCTTCTTCTCCAGTCAATTTTACTTTCTGCAGCTTTGGTGTTCTTATTTCATCCATAGAGAAAATCTGCATACTTGGGCAATCCATCAAAATCACCTCTTCCAAAAATGGGAACTCAAACTTGCATTTAACAGAGCAAAAGCTTGAAAGTCTGGGCAGACCACAAAGTTGCAAATACTTGAGTTTGCTAAGGACAATTCCATCCTTCACATCATCCTCCAAGCACGCAACTATTTCTCCTACCAAATCACAATTAGTTATACTCGTTTTTGTGAGATGCACTAAGCTTTTAGCAGTTGAGTATCTCAAGGGCATGTTTGGTGCAGCTTGTTGGAGTTTTTGCTTTTTTTGTACTGTTCATGAGTCATAAGTTTAAATTTTTATTGAAGGAAAAATTTAAAAGTTTTTTTTAGATATAAGAAAAAATGAGTAAAAAGGAAGTTTATCAAAAGTTTGAATTCGAAGCTTTTGATTTTTTTACTATTTAAGGTCTTTTTAAAGTTAAAAAAATATTTAAAAATGTAAGTTTTTAAAAGGAAAATTTAAACTTATAAAATATAAATAGTATTAAAAAGTTGAGGCACTTGGACTGAACCAAATGGGCCCTAAATTTATGAGTCCATGACATCTTGACACTTCTAGACTTTGCGGACTCTCAAAAGATACAATGGATGGCACTAAACTCATTAATTTGCTGCACTCAAGCACTTCTAGAGTTCTCAAGTTGTAGAAAACTGGTACTAGATCAGATTCTCCCTTCCAAAGGTGCCTTAGTTCATTGAGTTTAGATAACTTTAACAACCGTAATTGAGTAGATGTATCTGCGGGTCTTTCCTCACTACTAAAGCTTTCACAATGGAATATTTTATCAAAGGAAGCTTCACTCACAACAAGCCTCTCAAGGTTGGGTAGTGACTGAAAGAAAAATGAAGGAACAGCTGATTGCTCCCCAAGGCAGATGAGTTTAAGAACTTTTTTTTTTGTATGGACCATCCGGTATCCGGAAACTCATTGGGCCACCGACTAATCCGGATTCGAGTCGGGCAGGACCCAACGGGTGGCAAAGCTCTCCCTCATGAGTTTTAACGGAGCTGCATTCCCAGGACTTAAATTCAAGACTTCTGGTTAAGCTAGAAGAGTCCCAGCCAACTCATCCACCCACTCATGGGTGAGTTTAAGAACTTTTAGTTTGGGTAAATGGGGCCCTGGATATTGTCCAATCCATATCTCCTTCAAATTGTCATTCTTTTCAAGTATTAGTTCTTCTAGACTGGGGAATGTAGTCTGAAAAATTGGAAATATGATGTGTTAAAAAATGATTTTAAGACGCAGGTTGCAAAATGTGCATATGATAAAAGTCCTATGTCTACAATTTGTTACTAGCACATTTTAAACTGCATTCATAAATATAGAGAAAAGATAGTGTAGTATGTAATATATTAGCATGAATTGTTTATCAATTACATTAGAATTAAAAAAAAATGAAAAACTAATCAAATTTTGAATAATATATTAATTATTAATGAATTAAAAACTAGACAACCATAACCAGAGAGTTTCCTACTATTAATTATTACTTCAATTTAATAAAATACATTATCTCTATAAAATTTTTAAACAATTTAGTTTGTTTTTCTTAATTGATACTTGATAGATTGAAGGAAATGAACTTTTGAAGAAAGGATAATAGATTAAATATGTATGAGTACAAAAAATTTCAAAATGTCATATAAGCCGAAAGAAAAGCTTTACTTGAATGAAGTGCGTGCATCCATGTGCCCAAATTGACTTCTACGCAAATTGTTTAGAACTCTTACCTCGCTCATCCAGAAAAGAGGATATTTAATTTGAATTTTAAGTTGATCATCTTCTTTTATTCTCTGGAAACTTGAGAGTTCTGAAGCAAATATCTGTAATTGGTTACATCCATAAATCCGCAATTTTTTCAATGATGGCCATTCTGTAATATGCATTTGAAGGAACAAGCCTTTAAGGTTGGTTAGCCCATAAAGATCCAAGTCTGTTAATTTTGGAAATTTAAATTCTGTGACGGATTCCAACAAAGGTAGCGGAGTGGCTTTTTGTGCTTGTGATTGGCCGATACCAAGTTCTTGAGACTCAAATATCTCTTAAAGTGAATCACAATTCCATATTTGGAGCTTGTCTAGTCTCTGAAACTTTTCCAACATACTAAATGAGAAAATATTCAAATACCTTTTCACATTAAACCACACTTACAAAAGTTCGTTGGCAAAAAGAATCTGCTTCGAGTTTTGCTCCATACCTTGCTCAAACTCTTCACATATTCAATTATCAAATGCTCTAATTTTCACGCTCTCTATCATTTCTCATCCTTCCTATAATTACTCATTTTTTACCCATCTTAAACTAGGCAAATTTATCAATTAAAAAATAAGATAAAGTTTATAGAAGTTGAGATCAAATTTTAAGAATGCTTGATCTCTCAATTCAAGTATCTTATAAATATATTTGTTAAACTTTAAATTTTACAAGATAATATTATATTTTGAGTGTTATCATCTATTTTACTCATTATTTTTGGATGCATACTTTAAACAAACAAAGAGTTATAAATATTCAATTAAGGTTTAAAAAAAAATGCTAATAAATCTTGCATTGGCCTAGAATCACGCTTAAGGCATAGGTGTTTAATAAACACCGACTAGTTTTATTATTGTTTATTACTTCTCACAAAAATAAAAAGTAAAAATAAAAAACCATTTTTCTTCATTTTTCTTTAATCATGCTTAAGGCCTCGGAGGTATGGTACCTTTATTCAATATTTTTATTCTACAAAACAAAACTCTACTTAAGATGAAATAGAAAAAAAAGAAAAGAAAAAAAGAATAGAACAAAACAAAATTATGTGAACTCTACTTATGAAACACACATGTTTAGTGGCAAGTCACATGTACTTTTCCCTTAATTTGTTTAATAATTTAAGTTACCTTCTTAGGCTAATAATCCATCAAAATTTGGAAATTGCCTTTTACAACTAGTATTTGATAATTGATAGAATTCAGAAAGGCAAAAAAGGCAAGGTGAATACGAAACGAGTAACAAGAGAAGCAAATACATTGTGCCTGTAATAATGATAAAGCCAAACTGAACTGCTGTAATGGAATAAGTTAAACACCATGACACGAGTCTAAAGTCACACGTGAATTTGCAAATGGACAAAAAATGTATATATCAGTTTTAGGAAATGAGGTTACATTTTGGGTGCCAAACAATGTGGCAACTAAGGAATTAATTAAGAAAATATCCCAATATAACTACATATACAAGGGACTGAGAGGGATGTACTTTTATCAGACAAATGTAGACCGAATGTAGACCGTAGAGAAGATTGAAGCATATATAATGGACCAACTCACCATCAAATTTCACAGGTAATGATCATGAGCCACAATCTCCTTAATCTCAATTTTTAGAACCATTAGCATTGGGCTTTTCAGATTCATGACCACTCTGTAACCATAAGTATCAATACCAAGTCATTTTTATGATTCGTTAATCGTTAAATGATTCATACCCATCTCTTTCCTTTTGAACCCTAATTTATGAATTCGAATTGCTTATGTTGGAGCTATGGCATGAAAGCTGAAAATGCAGTGAAATGAGATCTGCTTTTTGTGGTGAGTGTGGGAGCAACACATCATCTGGTTTTTGTTATCCCCTAACTCCTAATTAGGAAGAGATGAATTGAAAGTTTTGTCATTTGTTTTATTGTGAAAAATGGGATTCTGAGATAGAGGGAGAGAGGAAAGTTGCTGAATTAGTGGTAAGCCTAAATTACATGTATTTATGAAGACTGCTCCTGGAACCATTTTGAAAATGGTTTTTAATGAAATATAAAGAACAAGAGAAAAGAATTGGTAGTTGTGCATGAATAGCATAAGTATATTATTATTAGCTATTTTGGGTCAGTTTGGTAGCCTATTATCTGTGTAAATTAGAACAAGGGTCATAGATACAAGTTTTCTATTTTATCATGGGTATATTTGAAAGAGATATAAATTCAAATGATAGGGATGCCGTTCTGCTTACTTTCAATTGCTTATTCTTGTTACCTGTGAGGTGTCATAAAGAAAATCATGCTGCGGCATTAAATTCTCTATTTATCACGGGTATGTAAGATGTAAGACAAATAAACTAGGTATTTTTGGTTGTGATCCATGTTTCTTTATAAATTTAATTAGTTTCTCCTTTACAATCCCTTTTTTTTTATTGTCAACTGGTATGACACGTTTCATTTTATGCATTGAGGAAGGTATTTTGGTGAGTTTCTTAGGTGGATACTATATGCACTTGTAGTATTCATAGGTATCATTGTTCTTATGTGGTATACTCTTACATGTTCAACTTTTGCCTTTGGTTAAATTTGAGTTGCAGATAGTTGTTTATGGTTTTTTCAGCAAGTTATTGAGGCTTTGGGATTTCTGATTTCAAACTTCTTGTTTCCTCTTGTTTTCTTTTTAAGTTATTGAGACTTTAGGATTTCTGATGTTAATCTTGTGTTTTCTCTTGTTCAGAAAATGGATATGGGGCCATGTCCAAAGGTCCACTCTTTGCAGCTGAGGAGAGAGTATCCTTATATTACTCACAATGCTGGATAGGTGCTTTTTTAGTAGTATGTACTTTCTGTTTGTTTTTCAGAAGTAATGTCTCTGCTGATAATATGCCTATGCTATTACTTTTAGTAGTTCTGTATTTCTGCATTTGTGGTTGCTTAACACCTCTTAGATATGAAGAAGCTAAGGCAAAAGGCATCGATAATTATGAAAGAGAGTTGGAAGATGCTATTGACAGGCTCATTGTTGAGTGTGATAGGAAAATTGGTAGAGCTCTAAAGTGTCTTGAAGATGGGGATGCAGAGGCTGCTATTGCTATATCAGTCTCTGAAGTTACTCAGGTTTTGGATAAGTCTTAATTTTATCTGTCTGACCTTTCTCCTACTTTGGACTTACAGATTTATTTATTTTCTGTGTTGATGTTACAGACAGCAGAAGTACTAGAGCTTTCAAAGCAGATTAAGGAGAAATTGAAAGAAGCTGATCAATATGGTATCATATTTTTGCACTAGCTCCTCTTTTATTTTTTCAGGACTGTCTCTAAGTTATCACCTAAGATTTTTTCTTTTGAGAAAGTTTTTATTTATTCATCCTTTTTTTTTTTTGAAAGTTAAAGTAGCATAGGAAGCATCTGGCTTCATGTGTTACTAGTTAAGCTTTCATGATTTGATTTTTGTTGAAATCTATCTACTTTTGATGTTGAGTTCGAGATTTTATTTCACTTTTATGCTTGAATTCCTTGTTTTTAAATTGCCTTTCGAAGGTTATGTATAAAAGGAAGGGGTGGGGGTTGGAGGGGCTACAATGATTTTCTATTGAGGTTTATATGCACGAGGTGTGACTCTTGAATTGGAGCAAAGATGTGTTTTCTGCCTTGCCAATTGATGACGAGTACTTGATTTGTTTTCTTTGATTATCTTGGTTATTCTTCTTTGAATTAATTGATTCAGGGTGCTGTCCAAGTTTACAACAATTGTTCTGAAGTTTTTGTTTCTAGGTTCAATAGATTTCATAAATTTTAAGATTTTGATTATATGGTACAGGGGGATAACCATGGTTGGAGTTTGACTGCTTTCCCCATTATTTCAACTCTAAGATGTTTAATTTGTTATAAAAAGAATAATTAAATGATTCAATCAGTATTTTTAGAGTGAGGAGACCGCCTTAGCATATTTGTTTGTCTGCTTGATATGTTTGGATTGTTAAGATTAAATCAATATGGTTGAATTCAGCCAAAGGCTATGTCTCCTCTCATATTATGGAGGACCTGGATTAAGGTGCCAAAGAATGGTGAACCATTCACTTCATTCAGTGTGCCTTTAAATGGCAGATTAGAATGACAAAGTAATGATGTGTCACACTTTCACTTTTGTTGCGGCCTTTGTAAATGAATTTTTGAGAATTCTTGAGAAATGTCTCTTGTTAGGGAGTTTAATATATGATTGGTTTGGGAGTTTAATACATGATTGGTTTTAGTGATTATATCAAATCCGTAACATTATATTGCTTGACTTGATGACTTCCCAGTAAGCCATATCATTTTTGATTTTTGAAGCCTTTTTACAAGTGTTTTGTTTAAAGTGCTAAATGCTGTACATAAACATATGTTGCATAATATTTTCTTTGTCCTTTGTCTTAATATTTATTATGGATGAATTGTGTAAATTTTATGATTAGCTTTGGGGTGTAAATGATTTCTTTTTGATTTGCAGATCTTGAAGGCAAGACAGACTGAAAATACGAGCTCTAGAAGAAGTATAAGAGCTTAGAACTAAAAGAGCAGATAAACAGGTACTTGGTAGCTTCTTTAGATGTAGGATTTGAAATGGGTCTCTGAAAGTACGAATTTATTCATATCAGGATTTCTCATATTGACTGTGTATTAAGTTCCTCATAATTTGATTCCTGTATAACTTTTAGTCTCCTGGTATATATAATGTTTCTGTTTATTGTTATAGTCAACACTACTTTTGGATGCATTCAATAAAGATCAGGCATCTTTGCCCCCACCATTGCCAAACCCTCCATCTTTAGCACCACTGCCTGTGCCTGCACCTGCACCTAATCCTTGGACCCAGGAAATGATAAATGAGAAGCTGAAGAAAGCTGAGGATCTTGGTAAGACTCAGGTTACCTGAACTCCATTTTTTATGTATGTAAAACAAGGAGAAAAACATCTTGAGTTCTTGACAATAGATATCTATTAGGTAGCATGTCTTAAATAACATTTCTTGAATGCTCCATTTGTCTTTAAATTCCTACAAATGGAAGAGCAGCAATCCTTAAGTTGTTTCTGAGGTATTTATTATGCCAATTTATGTTCCTTCCTGATTGTGGTTTTACCTTTTTTCCTAAAAAAAATGTCAATGTCAGAAAATTTGTTTTCCCTGCCCTTCCAAAACAATTGTCAATGATTGATAAAGACTCAGTACTTTACTGTTTTTTCAATTAACACTCAGTGCCTTACATTAACAATGCCTTTAGGGTGGTTTCATTTAAAATATACAGTAAGGCTATTAAAAAAATTTAGTTACCTAAATATCTCTGGATGATAAAGATGAAATGATAATGAAACTAATAAATGGATAAACTGAAGACTTGCTCTGAATCAAATGGCTTCTTATCCATAATGTTAGCCCAAAATCAATAGTCTTTTTGATTGATATCTATGCAAAAGGCTGGCAGTTGTATTAAGAAAAGGTTCCTTGGGGTTTGGATTTTAGTTATTTGGAAATCTATGTTATTTGTTTGAAAACTGTACTTATCTGTGTTTTATTGAACTGTGTTGTACAAAGTTTTCAAGAATACTTGATATACTTATCTGTGTTTTATTAATAGTTTCTCTTGTTCTCTTATTGTTGTGTAGGTGAGAAGGGGATGGTAGACGAGGCACAAAAAGCATTAGAAGAGGCTGAAGCACTCAAGAAGGTTTTAATTTCTGAATTTAATATTGTTATTTTTTGTAAATTGATTTTTATTAACTTGTACCATTTCGTTCTCCTTGGTATGCCTTATTTGTGGATAATTGTTTTTCCATGTGTTTAGCTCTCTGCCAGACAGGAGCCTGTTCTGGATTTCTCATAGTATATTGCTGCTCACGTTCGCATTGTGAGTTCTGTTTTTCTTTCTTTCAGCTTCACAGAAGGAAAACTATGATAAAAATTAGACAAGAAAACTTAGACACACTTGGACCTTATTGAGAAAATATGAATTTGATTTGCATGATTAATGCATGAACATTTCCCTGTCATAATTTGATTTTAGTTTAATTTTTTTTAGTCCATTGATATGTTAATATTCTGCCTGCTCTAATCTTTTTGATCCAATTTTGTTTCAGACTGATCAAAAGCTACGTGTTTGTGATATTTGTAGAGCATTTTTGAGTGTTTATGATAGGTACATTGTTTTTATCTTCTACTTCTTGATAATAGCCTTTTATCTTGTTTCTAATTAAGGGATTCAAAAAGTTAGTGTTTGGGGTTTCAGGTGCTTCCGCTTTTGACCCGGCTATCATACCTCCTTGTCACCAGCAGGCTTTTGGGCCCAGTTTTACAAGGATAACTTTTACAGCTACATAATGTGCGTCATTTTCTGTTTTTGTACTTTTACAGCTACATAATATACCTCCTTAGTATGTGCTGACTGTCTATGGTGGCTCGGCTTTAAGTGTTACATTAGGCTAGGGATAGTGCCTGGCATCCAAGGTGTTGGTTGTATAAATTGCCTGAACTATCCACTTACTATGTCTAATATTATTATTTTTTAAAGAATCAGAACTTTATTTGAACACTGTTACTTAATGGATTCTTGTAAAACAGCAAATTATACGTCTTTTCCGGATCCCCTTAAGTTTGTATTGTGAATATGTTGATCAGGTGCCGGTATAATGTTTCTCATTCTTCCATACAGATTCTCAGTTAGTATCATCTGTGTGTTTTTCTGACCTCAGAGAAGAATAATATCTCCCATTTTTCAATTTCTTTCGATTGTTTGTACATGCTGGACTTTAAAAGCATAGTATTTTCTACCTTGTCTGTGCAAACTGGGCTTAAAATGTATCAAATATGAAATGTTTTGGTGCTCAACCAATTTTGATAGATTAGTTTTTTCTGCTGAAAGAATGAGAGAAAAAGGAAACATGAAATGAAATAGGAGAGAAGCACAAGAAAGGAGTTTGTTGTAAGTAATGTAAGAAAAAAACTGAGCTTTTCATATGTTTAAAATCTGTGACAATAAATCTGATCAAGGCCTGAATTGGTCGGGTTAAGTTGCCTACTAATTATGCCTACTACCATTAGAATTCTTTCCTGATGGTTTTTGGCATGTTATATTTAGCTAAATTGAAGTGGCATTTAGCTTTTTGAAAGAAATGTTCAGTAGCATTTGGTGATTATTGTTTTCTCAAGAAGAGAGAAACAAGAGCCGCAAACTTTGACCGGTATGACGATAGGAGGTAATCCTCACATGGTTTCTTTTCCTTTTTCCTTTTGCTAAACCATTGGGTGGTGAGGGGGGTGTTGTGATGTCCTTTTTATTGGTGGTGTATATATAGAAAGAAAGAAGTAGAGATCATGAGAGTGAATCAAGTTGGGACCAAGATCAAGGGAATAGCCGTGACTGAGGGAGGGATTATGATCATAGGAGCAGAGATCATGATAGGTGTAGTGATCGAGATTGTGATCAGGATTATGAGCGCTCTCAAACTTATGATTCTAGAAGTCGCAACAGGTCATGTTCAAGGTCTAGGGAAAGCTCCAAGGATCATGATCACCACTGGTACTTGTTTAACAATATCCCTTGCTTGTTTAAAAATATATTATTAGTTTGTTTTGTGATCATTTTTTAACTTATTAAATGTCTAATGTAATATAATATTTGTTTTCTATTATTGTAAAATGTGCCAACCTTGAATAGACCCAGAATCAACCATGCTTAAGGCATAAGGGTGTAGCAAACACCTGTAGATTTTAATGTTGTTTTTCTTCACATAAAAAACCCTGTTTTTTTAATCTCATCTAAATTCTAAAATATCTTAACTACTGTTTGATTATGATGAGCTGATGAAGGGATGGCGTTCCTTTAGTACCTCATTATATTATGATTTGTTAGTTATTGCCTGGATTTGAATCTTGATCTTAACCTCAAAACCAAGTGATAGATATTTTGATAGATATTTGCCTTCCTTATTTTTCTTACTTTTTGTTTTGTGCCTTGTTGGAATAGGCCCAACAGGCCCAACGCCCAAACAGGGCTGTGCAAAACGGGCCTAAGCTACCACCCATTAGCCCAAGCTGAAGGAGCATCAGTACAAGCATACCCACGTGACCAAGGCCACGTGGGTCAAGGGGATGCTTACACATGCAAATGCATGTCAGCACCAAGGGACTATAAATACCCCCCAACTACCTCCGATGAAGGTAATTAATCTCTACGCTTCTCTCTCTGCAATTACTCCTTGAGAGCACCTCTCTCTAGAATATTGAGTATTGCTGACTTGAGCGTTGGAGTGTTTTCCCTGAGGAAACATCCTCGGGATTTTCAGGTGTAGAGGCAGCTGAAGACTTCAACAGTGTTGGACTGCGTAGCTGCCGAAACATTGGCGCCGTCTGTGGGAAACTCGAACAAGAAGTCGTGTGACTTAACCTGCTGAGAGACAAAATGGTTCGTACCTTTACAGGGGGTCGCCCTCCAAGAAATGAAGTGGACGAACAGGAGGATGCTCATGTATCTGAGCCCGGCTTGAATGACTTTAGGCCAATGCCAAGAAATCTTTTTGTAGGAGGAGCCGAACAGGATCATCTAAGTGAGACGGATGATGAAAGAACACCAACTGGGTATGCAACCCAGCCTGAACAGTTCCAAGTTCCAACAGGGACAAGACGAAGACCTTCTAAACCGCACGATTCACAGCATGAACGACCTGAAAGGTCAACAGAACCTGCTCGGACAACTGAGCTCGAAGAGAGAACTAGAGTTCTCGAAATGGCAATGGGTAAAATCCTTACCCGCCTAATTCTTGATGACCCCCTGATTCCTTTGCTGAACAGGGATGCACAACCAGCTGCGGTTGTTGCAACTAGAAACTCTCCCGCTCTAAGCAATATAGTAGTGCCGACCAGGCCAAGAGGAAGTGGGAAGTTGAATGTCGAGCCCAGCTCGTCTAAATATAGTGAAGAATTGATGAGAAAAAACGCAGACCTTGAAAGGCAGCTGCGGGATGTACAGAAATCCATTGACGAGCTGAAAAGCCCCAGGTCGCACCAACAGACCTTGGATTTGGATAGTGCTCCGCTGAACCTATCCATCACAACAGAACCATATCAAGAGGGATTCAAAATTCCCCACCTAGAGACATATGATGGCACGAAAGACCCGGATGAACATCTACACACCTATCAAGCCATCATGAGGATTCAAAACGCCAATGATGCCATGATGTGTAAAGTGTTCCCGACGACGTTGAAATCAACAGCCCGAAGATGGTATCACAAACTCCCCAGGCATTCAATAGATTCATTTTCCCAGCTCGCCAAGCTGTTATCTAACAAATTTGCAAGCCAAAGGGAGATCAAGCGCACAGCTACTGAGCTGATGCAAGTTAGCCAGAAGGAAGGGGAGTCTCTGAGGGATTACATGCAGCGGTTCAACAAAGCCACATTGGACATTGGTAATGTCCCAGACACAATCTGCCTGTCCGCCCTGTTGCATGGGTTGAAGCGTGGCCGGTTCCTAGACAACCTGCTTGAAAACCCACCGAAGACGTGGAATGAGGTGAATGACAGGTCAGCCAGCTTCATACTGTCAGAGGACTTTCAGTTGTCCAAGCGACGAGCTGATGACAAGCCGAACAGAGGCCAGGAACAACAACCGAGAAGAGAGGAGAAGAAGAAGCAGAAGGTCGGTGAGCAATGGGGGAAACCAACTGAGTTCCCGAAGTACGCCAGTTACATTCCTTTGACCTTACCTAGGTCTCAAATCCTGGCACAAATTCAGCACTGGGTTCGGAGACCTCCACCCCCACTACATGATTTCCCGAGGGTAAATAAGAGCAAGCATTGTGACTACCACCGTGTATATGGTCACAATACAGAGGACTGCCAGCATTTGAAGGATGAGTTAGAATTTTTGGCTCGTAACGGGAAGCTAGAAGGGTATGTTCAGAAGCCTCACACCCAGCAACCCACTCAAACCCATTTTGTGCAGGCGTACGACCGACCTCAAGGACAGAGGTACCAGCATGGTGGGACACAGGATGCATATCAGGATAACCAGTATCCTACTGAACAGAGCAGAGTGTACCGAGGACGTCCTTTCAACAGGAGAGGGCAGGGACCGAGAACTACCGCCCCGAATAAAAAAGATAGGAAAGGGGTAGGTTATGCTGGGATACCCCCACCTTCTGGTACAATAAACATGATATCAGGTGGTGTTCACTCTGGGGGCCAAAGCGCCCGAGCTCGCAAGGCATATGCCCGACAGGTGATGACCGTCAACAAAAACAGACCCCTGAAACGGCCGTTTGAGGAAGCAGAATGGGAAAATACGCCCATTACATTCAGCACGGCAGATTACAAGCGAGCAGAAGGAGAGCCCGACATTACGATGCCCCATGCAGATCCCTTTGTGGCAACAGTTCATATAAGCAACCATAATGTCAATAAGGTGTTTATTGACACTAGCAGTTCGCCAGATATCCTGTACTAGGGTTGCTTCCAGAAGATGCAGCTAAATCCGAGCTCGCTGCAGAAGCATGAAGGCCCTATATATGGGTTCGACAACCAGCCCGTCCCTGTGGAGGGAGTTATTACTCTTCCTATATATGTGGGCTCAGAACCGCGCTTCAGGATGGCTTCGGTCACCTTC